CCGTGATGATGATGAGAAAGAGAGACGTGCAAACTCCAAATATACAGCGGGCATCAGGCTCAGGATTGAACCCACGACCTCCTGCGTACCAGGCGAGGGCGGCAACATCTCCGAGCTCCCACGGCACCCCTTCTGTTCCAGCGAGCGACGATATCGTGCGCGGTGGCGGCGACGGCGGCGCTGCCGTTCGGGAAATCCGCGGCCAAGCGACTTTGGGGATTTGCGAACCGGCGTCCGCCCGCCCGCCCGCCCGCCCGCTCGCCCGCTCTGGCTGTCCCGTCGCGACGGTCGTGCAACGGCGTTCGGCCGGGGCCCGCGGGCCTCAAAAAAGTGTGACGGCTCAGCAATTCTCGGTTTTAATAAGGGGGGCCTCGAATGATGCGTGCCCATGTACATTTTGTTTCTGTTGACGATGTCAAACGGGTTATTTATACGGCGTAAACTCGTCCCCACGGGGGGAGGGGAGGGGCGCGGGGGGTGGCGGGGGGAGGGGCGGGGGGGGGGGGGCTGCACCCGTGCCACTCTCGCGCGGCGTGTGCACACGCGCGTCTGGGGGGTGGGGGATCACGCCACAGTAATCCAGCAGTGGATAGACCGCGGCCGATGACGACGGCGACTGTCCGCGATAGCGACACGCAGACGCGCGCGCTCCTGGGCGCGTTAACCGAGGACCCCGCCGTGCCTGCACACTGGACGTGCGTCGTTTGCCGCGAGAAAAAATTGGGGGGGGGTGGTTGCGGGGGCGGGGGGGGGGGGCGACGCGGATGGATGGCTCTGGCGCGATCGGGCGGGGGGTGGGGGGGGGTGATGGGGGGGGGTTTCCTCGTCGCGCGGCTTCAGTGCCCGTCCGCCCGCTTCTCCGCCCCCCGGAATCACGTAAAAAGAGATGAATCGTCCAAACCCCAGCTTGTGTGTGCGTGTGTGTGCGTGTGTGTGTGCGTGGCGTGTGTGTGTGCGTGCGGCGTGTGTGTGTGTGTGCGTGGCGTGTGTGCGTGTGTGTGTGCGTGTGTGTGTGTGGCGTGTGTGTGTGCGTGGCGTGTGTGTGCGTGGCGTGCGTGTGTGTGTGGCGTGTGTGCGTGGCGTGTGTGCGTGTGGAAGCGATGCCAAATAAACAGCTGAGATGGTGGGGACGCCGCGCCGCTTGAATGTTCCAGGGTCTCGGTGTGCTGGTTTCAATAAGGGGGGGGACAGCGCTGGCTACGGTGGCATTTGTCGTTTTAATGATTGTCGTTTTAATGATTGTCGTTTTAATGATTGTCGTTTTAATGATTGTCGTTTTAATGATTGTCGTTGCCGCGTCTTTTCTCGTGGCGTTGATGACCGGGTGGGGGGTGTTTGCTTTGTTGTGGCAGCCTTCGGGCGAAAGCTGTTCTCGGCTCGAATTAATTCGAATTAAAACACCTCGTCACATATCACGGGGGACCTTTTTTTTTTCGCCAGCCTCGGAGTATGAAAAATAAGAAATCGGTGTTTACCCTTCCTGGCAATAATGAAACAAGGAGTTGTGTTAAAATGTTCAAATGCCAAATAGATTCAAACTTTTTCAAGGAATCAAGTGACTGCATTAAGCACACACAACTGCGGTACGTTGTTGTTGAACATGCAAACAAACAGGTGATAATCTGTGATGCGTTGTCTCTGAAACCGATTGGCCGACGCCAGAGATAGCGGCCTTTTTTATGGCCTCGTCTCACCACCAGTGTCAGACCCAGAGAACATTTATCGCTCGGGGTCTCTCTCTCTTTCTTTCTCTCATCATCATCACGGTGGCTGGGAGATGTTAACCACCTCGCCTGGTTCGCAGGAGGTCGTGGGTTCCATCCCGACCCTGACGACGCCTGCTGCTGTATAACTGTAGTTTGCGTGTCTCTCTCTCATCATCATCACGGTGGCTAGGAGATGTTAACTCCCTCGCCTGGTGTACAGGAGGTCGTGGGTTCGATCCCGACCCTGACGCCTGCTGCTGCTGTATGTTTGGAGTTTGCGTGTCTCTCTCTCTCTCATCATCATGACGGTGGCTAGGAGATGTTAACCACCTCGCCTGGTTCGCAGGAGGTCGTGGGTTCGATCCCGACCCTGACGCCTGCTGTCGCGGATTTTGGCTGAGGCGGGGAGGGTACGGCTCGGCCCCGCTTAACGAGCGTCTCGGATCGGGCCCGGAATCGGCGCGCCACCGCGCGCTCGCATTGCCGTCCGCCGAAAGGTTTAAAGCTGCGAGGAAGAAAACGACTTCTTCTTTGGTTCTTTCGGTAAAGTCACGTAGAATGAGAATAAAATATTAAATTAATAAAACAACACAATAAAATTCTCACGACGTTTCGGCCACAACACAAGCGGCCTTCTTCAGGTGAAAGGAACAGATCCGTCGGGAGGACAGAGCTTCAATGAGCTTCAACCACAAAAAAAAAAAACCGTGAACCGGTGCCACCGTCAACCGCGAGGGGCGACCGTACGTCGATTGCCCCTATGCCGTTCGTGTCGTGTCCTTGGCGGGCCTCGCGTGTCCCTACGACCGGCAGGCAGGAAAGGTCAAAGTTCGTCGTCGTTTTAATCTCACTAGCGCCGGGGTGACTTTATTGATTCAAATTAACGCGCTCCGTGGAAGGGGACCCGGGGTGGAACGGCAGTGGATCATTAATTTACGCGGCTGACCTCCGCATCCAAACTCGCCGTGCGGTGCTGCGTCGTCAGTATCGAAGCTTAACCGTTTTTCTTGTTTACACGCTTTCTATTAACTCCCTATGTTGTTGTTGTTGTATCCTCAAATCTTGTAACTCAATTTTAACCCACTTCCCAATGTGGTATCGGCTGTAAACTTGGTTATGCTTGTGTCATACTGATGACAATACTATATTCTATCATTAAAAATACAGATTTTTAAACAGGGGCGGAGCCAGGGGGGGGTGACAGGGGGGGTGACATTCTGCGTATAAGTGTACGACACTCGGTCTGGCGGACTCCGTGCAACTGCATTGTCAGAGTGTGTCGCCAACCGATGGTTGTCTAGTTCAACAGCCTGACTCTCTCTAAATCATTCTTGAAATTAAAATTTGTTGAATGTCACCCCGGCCTGAAATCCTGGCTCCGCCCCTGTTTTTAAACATTCTTTTTTACACGTTATGTTTCGGCTTGGCTCTAATTGTCCACGCTCAACTGACGTTGGCTGTGATTGGCCCACGGTCCCCCTTACGTCGTGGCAAGCTTTGGGGGCCACTCCCTGGAGTCGTGGAGTTCTGCCATTACTCGTACCGGTACATTTCATGAAAGCGTGTTTTTAAACAAGTGTTTTTAAATATTACTTTATTTATTTCGCAGGTGAGGCCCCGCCGACCTCCTCTGCAGCTCTCTTTGTTGTCAGAAGTGAACCCGGCTCGCTCGATCGTTGTCGTCGTGCGGACGTTCAGGGCAGCAGCCAAATATTCCTGACGCGCGTTTGGTAGGAGGGCAAAGTACAGGAACGGTAAACAAATGGCTTTAATAAAATACGCACGTACAACTTAACAATGCTATATAGATTTTGATTTAAAGCTTTCGTGACTGCAGGGATTCATATTCTTGGTTCTTTCGGTGAAAGTCACGTAGAAGGAAAAAACAATAAGGTGTTATTGTTTTATATTTTTATTATTTTGTTGTTTCCCTTCTACGTGACTTTTACCGAAAGAACCAAGAATATAATGCTATATAGCTATCACAAATGATAGCTCAACGATGTGGTGGCAGTCAAATACTCTAAACGCCGTGACGTTGATTCTATTTGTGGAGGGAAAAACCGGAGGACCCGGAGAAAAATCCACAACGATCATGGGGGGGGGGGGGGGGGGGGGCGGGAGAGAGAGAGAGACAGAGGAGGACACGCAAACTCAAAATGTACAGCAAGCGTCAGGGTAGGGATTGAACCCACGACCTCCTGCGCACCTGAACGGAGAGCGTTACACTTTCGGGATTTGTCGCGTTCAGGCCGGGCGGTGCGGTGCTACCGCCCAGTGCCCCGGAGCAATATAGGGGCCTGGGTTCGATTCCCGACTCGTTGGCGTAGGTCCGTGCGGAGATTGTGTACGTTCTCCCCCTGTTCTGCAGAGTGTGGAGTTATTGGGTCAGCGTGCTTGATAGCAACACTTGCCCCAACAGTCTGTTGAGGCTATAAGGGAGGTCTTTGTCGTGTTGAGTGTTGAGTGAGCGTTAAGTTCGTGGAGTTTGTATGCTCTGCACCCCGTTCTGCATGGGTCACCTCTGATTTTTCCTACCTGGACGGTGGGTGGGGCTACTTGGGCCGTGGGCGGGGCCACACGGTCAGTGGGCGGGGCCAGTGGTTTATTGGGCGTGGCTATGCAAAAGTGGGAGGGAGGGAGGAGCTGCCGGCTCACTGTGTGCGCTGGTGGAGCCTCCCGGAAATGTGCCACCCTTATTAACCCCATTCCCGCTGCGAGACGTCTGCAAGCCTTGCACGTACGTCGTCGGGACGGGAAAGGGTTGATAAAAGGTCACAACATAAATACAAACAAGGGGTACAGTGAGCTCAGCTCTGAAACGTTATTGCTCACAAGGCACTGCTGGTGGGAAGGGCCTCGACTCGGAGCAGGTCTGGAGAGCCCCTCTCGGAGGGTGTATTCGGCCTGCTGTTACACGCTCGCCAGGAGCTTCGGAAGAGGCGGGAGTTACCCACAATTTATTTCACCACAGGCCGCCCCGCCCGGTCGACTGGCTGTTGCCGCGCCCGATGATACTGCCAGCTGGTTAGAAGGCAGGGCCATTGACTGTAAATGTGTCACTGTCCGGTGCCGGGAGGTGGAATCCGAATCACCACTAACTCGTGCAATTTCTCCCCTCTTTCCCCCTCGCCCTTATCGCCTCTCCGCTTTCTTCTCTCCCCTTACTCCTCTCCCTTCTCGTACCTCTCCTCTCCGCTCTCCCTTGTCCCCCTCTCCCTTCTATCTCCCCTTCTCCCCTCTCTCTCTATCTCTCTCTCTCCTGCTCCTCTCGCCCCCCCGCACGGCGCGCAGGCACGGGCACGTTTGGGCGCGTGCTGCTGGTGCGCGACGCGGCGACGCGCCACCACTACGCGCTCAAGAAGATGAGCATCTGCGACGTGATCCGGCTCAAGCAGGAGCAGCACGTGCACAACGAGAAGGACGTGCTGCTGGAGTGTGACCACCCCTTCATCGTTAAGCTGTACGCGCCGCACACGCACGCACGCACACACACGCACGCACGCACGCACGCACGCACGCGTGCGCAAACAAAAGAAACAAAGGCAAAGATCCCCCGTATATCCTGAACAGACTGTTGGGGCAAGTGCCGTTGGCGAGTAGCACCTCGCGACGATGTTTAATGCACACCGCGCCAGGCGCTCAATTGAGGCGGAGTTGACTTCGGAGAGGCTCAGGACCAGTTCAGATGATCGTCAAACTGGTGCCGATCGCGAGCGGGAATCGAACTCGGGCCGCCGAGTTTGTCGTACGGCGCGCTAATCGCGCACACAGAAAAAGATGTTTGTTACACACTGCCACGAGGTGCTCGTTTGAGGCCGAGTCGACCTAGGGGACGGCCCACGACCGGTTCAGATATTCATCACCGATGTTGGCCGTGATCGGGAATTGAACGCGCACACAGACACACACAACAACAACCGCCATTCGCCACTAAGTGGCGGTGACATCACCACGACGCTTGTGCCAGGCCATGTGCACCTTGAGGCCACTTGAAGCGTCGAACGCCCGCTGGCAGGAGGTCACGGGGCAGACCCACACATATGCACACGCACACACACACACATATAGACGGACACACACACATGGACGGATGGACAGCGATCGGTGGCGATCGGCTTGACGTCCTGAGCGTAAATTAAAGTGCACCGTTTTTTCTAACATTGTTTCAAGTAAAGAAATCTATAAAAAAAAATTATTTTACCAGGTAAGGCCCCACTGAGCTTATATCGCTCTATTTCAGAAGCGACCTGCCCACAAATGATAGCTCAACGAAGTGGGCTTATCATCATCACTCGTATGTTTATAATTAACGTACAGCATTGTGGGATTCAATTAGTTTGCATTACGCTAACATTTAAAATATTTCGATTTAAAGCTTTCGTGACTGCAAGGATTCATCTTCTTTGGTTCTTCCGGTAAAGTCACGAATAAAATAATAAAATAACACAATAAAATTCTCACGACGTTTCGGCCACAACGCAAGCGGCCGTTTTCAGGTGAAAGGAACAGACCTGTCGGGACGACAGAGATTTAAAATATTATCGCTAATACATTTTGTTCCTTAAGAGTTTCATTTTTAACCCACAGCATGTGTATATTTTTTAAATGTTTAATTAAACAAACCATTTCACGTTTTTTGCCCTGCTGAGGAAGGGGGGTGGACCTTTGGATGCGCGTGGGGTTGGTGGTTTCGAGGACGGGCGGCTTAAAATCGCAAGCCAAATTTGGGTCTGCGGGGTTGTGTGTGCGGTGGTGGTGGACAGGGTGGCTCGCATTTAATTTGATTCATTTTAGGGGGCTGGGTGGGTGGGGGGGGGGGCTGGGTGGGGTGGGGCGCAAAGGGCCGCTGTGGTCAAAATTAGTCCGTGAGAGATTTTCATTTAATTTTTTTTGCCGTTGTTGAGCGCGTGGGGAAATACTTTAACTTCTGGCAAGAAGGTTGCCCCTTAAAATAGAAAACGGTACCCGAGGGTACGTTGGCAAATGTTATAGTTACAGTCACACACGCTTATATATAGAAACATTTGCCACCCATCCATCCCTCCTCACTATGTCCAGTTGCCGAATCGGCAAAGATTCAGCCCGCTACTTTTTTTTAGTTTGTTTACGGTGTGTGGAATTACGGTAGGTGTGTGCAGCTGATGCGCCGCCAGCGTTGAATGATTGAAGGCGACAAGTCTCGGGGGTTGAGGGCTTGGGGCTAGGGATGAAGGAGTCATCGGAGTCGGGTCCATTGCCGGGCGACGGTGGTCGTGGTGGTGGTGGTGACGGTGGTGATGAAAGTGGTGCTGGTCAGTTTTAACACGTAGGCTTTCGTGAACCAATATTGTTCGCAATGTTGCCAATTAGTTCCGAGTTCAGCATTAACCGGTTGTGTGTTGGAGAGTAAACCCAGACCCACAACATTTACAATACGAGTAAGAAATTGAAGGACCATGATGATGATGATGATGGCGGCAACCGGTGGTGCTTAGCGACGGTGTCGTCGCCGTCGGTGACGTTGCCGGTGACGTCACCGATGACGTCGCCGCCGGTGACGTCACCGATGACGTCGCCGCCTGTGACGTCACCAACGGCGACGCCGATCTCCTCCGTCCCCCCACCCCCCACCCCGCGCGCCAGGTTCTGGACCCACCACGACTCGCGCTTCCTCTACGTGCTCATGGAGTACGCGCCGGGCGGGGAGCTCTTCACGTACCTGCGCAACCTGGGGCGCTTCTGCGACGCGTACGGCCTCTTCTACGCGAGCGAGCTGGTGTGCGCCATCGAGTACCTGCACGGTATCTCCGTGGTGTACCGCGACCTCAAGCCCGAGAACGTTCTGCTGGCGCGCGACGGTCACGTCAAGCTCACCGACTTTGGCTTCTCCAAGAAGCTCCACGAGAAGTGAGCGGCCCGCGTGCGCGGGCGGTGGATCGCTGGGTTTCTTCGCGCGTGCGTGCGTGGTTGTGTTTTAGCGTGGTTGTGTTTTTGCGCGTTTGTGTTTTCGTGTGTTTTGTGTTTTGTGTTTTCACGCGTTTGTGTTTTGTCTTTTTGCGTGGTTCTGTTTTTCTGTTTTTTTGTGTGTTTTTGGGTGTTTGTGTTTTTTGCGTGTTTGTGTTTTTGTGTGTTTGTGTTTTTTTTGTGTTTGTGTTTTTGCGTGTTTGTGTTTTAGTGTGTTTGTGTTTTCACGTGTTTGTGTTTTTACGTGTTTGTGTTTTAGCGTGTTTGTGTTTTTGTGTGTTTGTGTTTTTTTTGTGTTTGTGTTTTAGCGTGTTTGTGTTTTAGTGTGTTTTGTGTTTTCACGCGTTTGTGTTTTGTCTTTTTGCGTGGTTCTGTTTTTCTGTTTTTTGTGTGTTTTTGGGTGTTTGTGTTTTAGCGTGTTTGTGTTTTTGTGTGTTTGTGTTTTTTTTGTGTTTGTGTTTTAGCGTGTTTGTGTTTTAGTGTGTTTTGTGTTTTCACGCGTTTGTGTTTTGTCTTTTTGCGTGGCTGTGTTTTTCTGTTTTTTGTGTGTTTTTTGCGTGTTTGTGTTTTAGCGTGTTTGTGTTTTATGTGTTTGTGTGTTTGTGTTTTTGAATGTTTATTCTTTTGTGTTTGTGTATTTTTGTGTTCGTGCTTTGCTTGTTGTTTGTGTTTTACATGTTTGTGTTTACCGTGCGTGTTTGTGTTTTGTGCGTTTGTGTTTACTGTGTTTGCGTGTTTGTGTTTTTTGCATGTGGCAAGCCCAGTCACAATGTGCTGTCCACCCATTTTCTCTTGTGTCGTGGTTGTGGGGGTAACAGTGGCATTCTAAAACTAAATTAGGTAGCTAGCTACCTAGCTCTTTTTTTCAGAAGCCACCTGGCCATCACAATTGATAGCTCAACGAAGTGGCGGGTTATCATCATCATCGTGTCAAAATTTACAGCAGCCAAATACTCTAAACGCCGTGACGCCGATTCTAAATGCGGTGGGGAAAAACCGGACGACCCGGAGAAAAATCCACGCGACCGCGGGGGAGAGAGAGATTGAAAGAGAGACGGAAACTCCAAATATATACAACAGGGTTGGTATCGAACCCACGGCCTCCTGAATACCAGGCGAGGTAGTTAACATCTCCGAGCCACCGTGATGATGATGAGAGAGAGAGACGCGCAAACTCAATATACAGCAGGCTTCAGGGTCGGGATCGAACCCACGACCTCCCGCATGCCGGGTCGAGGGAGTTAACGTCTCGCCACCGCGGTGCCACACCTACTTGCCGTACCGCCCGGTGGAGACGACAGGGGGTGCCGGTGAGGGTGGGTGTGGGCGGGGGGGGCGGTTGGTGGGGTTTCGCGATGGCCGTTCCGGCGTTGGGTGGCAAGACGAGAAGGCTTGCTCCGCCCTACATCCACGACCTCCGTCAGCCGCGTCTGTTGCGTCGAGTTCGTTAAGATCCTCAGAAACGTGCATTGCTCACTGTCTCTGCGGTCTCTCGGCTTCACACTGCGGGGGACGGGGGGGGGGGTGGTGCCTCCTAGCCCGTTCGAGGTCAGGGGACTTCCGGGACACTTGCAGATCTTCAGATGGGGCGCCATGGTGGCGAGATGTTAACTACCTCGCCTGGTATACAGGAGGTCATGGGTTCGATCCCGACCCTGACGCCTGCTGCTGTATATTTGGAGTTTGCGTGTCTCTCTCTCTCATCATCACGGTGACTAGGAGATGTTAACTACCTCGCCTGGTGTACAGGAAGTCGTGGATTCGATCCCGACCCTGACGCCTGCTGCTGTATATTTGGAGTCTGCGTGTCTCTCTCTCTCATCATCATCACGGTGGCTACGAGATGTTAACTACCTCGCCTGGTGTACAGGAGGTCATGGGTTCGATCCGGACCCTGACGCCTGCTGCTACTGTATATTTGGAGTTTACATGTTTCTCCCCGTGGTCCCGTGGATTTTTCTCCGGGTCCTCCGGTTTTTCCCGCCACATTTAGAATCCACATTCGGCTGCTATAGATTTCAACACGATGAGCCACATTGTTGAGCTATCATTTGTGACCTTCTGAAAAAGAGCCATGCAGCTCATCGGGCCTTACCTAGTAAATGAAATAAAAAGATCTCGACAAAAAACGCATCCGTTTGAAAAGCAAAAAAACGGCTTGCTCACTCTTCAGTTGTTTCCAAATGTCTTCCTCGCTTCTTCCTCTTTCCCCGGTCGATGCGTTAACTATTTTTGCCCGCCTTTTCAATGCACGGCGGCCTGAGAACCACCGTTTAAGGGGAGCTCTGTAGGTCGAAATGGCGATTATTATTATTATTACCGCGTCCCCTCCCGCTGGCGCCTGCGCTCGTAACGTCAGTCGGCGCGCGTTGGCGTTCGCCGCCCTTCCCTGGAGAGAGACCGGCCCTTCCCCTCGTCCGTCCGTATCTCGCCCGTATCGAAAAATACACACACACACACACAGCCGCGTTGAGCCCCGACGCGGTTTGCTTCTGCCAGGTTGGAGCTGTTCACCTCGCGCGGTGGTTCAAGGTCGCGCCCCGCCGTCTTTCTAAGTACGGTTAAACCTTGTGGATTGCGAGTAACTTGGTCTGCGCGAGTGTTTTGCAAGACGAGCAAATTTTTTTTTAAAATAAATAATAATTTCATCTCCTTCGGTTCTTTCGGTAAAGTCACGTAGAATGAGAATAAAATTATGAATTAATAAAATAAAATAACACAATAAAATTCTCACGACGTTTCGGCCACAACACAAGCGGCCTCGTGTGAACCAAAGAAGATGAATCCTTGCAGTCACGAAAGCTTTAAATCGAAAAATAATAATTTGATAAACGAGCGAGGGTCTTAGCGATACGAGTAGTAGTACGTGTACACGCTTTGTACTGCCGAGCGTCACGTGATCACACAACTGATATACGAGCGAGGTCTTTCAATACTAGCAGTGTACGTCTATACGCTTTGTACTGCCGAGCGTCACGTGATCACACAACTGATATCCGAGTGCTTTGATACACTGGTGCTTTGGATTACAAACACGTTTCCGGAACGAATTATGCTGCGCAACCCACGGTTTTACTATGCTCTTGTTCTTTCTATTCTATTTATTATTCTTTCTATTCTTGTTCTTTCTATTCTATTTATTATTCTTTCTATTCTATTTATTATTCTTGTTCTTTCTCTTCGATTGCGCGGCTGTGAACGGTGGCGCCGGCGAGTGGCTGCGGCGGGGTGACGCGTGAGAACGCGCTTGCGTGCATCACCTACGAACCGAGCGTCGAAAAGTCCATCGGCTTGCGTAGGACGGCCCGTCTAAGGCTAAACTATAAAACGAAACGATGTTTTGTTATTTTGCCACGTAAGGGCCCACTGAGCGACGTAGCTCTTCTTCAGAAGCGTCCGGGGAATCACAAATGGTCGCTTGGCGAACTGGCGGCTTATCAGCAGACGTAGAGGGGGGGGGGGGGGGGAAACAACAACAGGACCCGGTGGGACACGGAAACTCCAAATATTCGGCAGACGTCAGGGTCGGGATCGAACCTACGACGTCCTGCATACCAAGCGAGGTAGTTAACATCTCCTAGACACCGTGATGATGATGAGAGAGAGAGAGAGAGACACCGCAATGACCTCCCCCCCTCCCAAACACCCCACCGCCGCCTGCCTGACTGTGGGCCCCGTTCCGCCAGACTCTGCCGTTCCCGACGGCGCTGCCATCTGCCACGGTAGCAGCAATCATTATCTTAATTGGCTTTTATTTGTTCTGTTTTTTTCCGCGTCAACCTCATTAGCGGGGGGCAAAGCCATTCCTAAGCCTCGCTGTGTGTCACAGACGACTGTTTGGGTTTTGTGATTAGGCCGGGGGGCGCGGGGGGGGGGGGGGGGGGGCGCGGGGGGGGGGGGGGGGGGCGGGGGGGGGGGGGGGGGCGCGGGGCGTTTAAGGCGGAGAGGGGGGGGGGCCGGGGTACATTTTTGCCACGTTCGGTTTTTTGCCAATTGGGGCCCAACATTTAGCCACGTTACGCGTTTGCGGGCTCGCGAAAAACCCGCCGGTGTTAACCAGGGTGGCCGCGCGGCCTCCTGACCGCCAAATCTGCAAGACGGTGCGTGAATGCGTGCGTGCGTGCGTGCGTCTGTGTGTGTGTGTCTGTGTGTGTGTGTCTGTGTGTGTGTGTGCGTGCATGCGTGTGGGGGGGGGGGGGGGAGCGGTGGCGCAGCAGTTAGCGCTGCCTCTACAAACCCGGCTGTGACGACTATCTGAACCGGTTCTGGGCCTCCCACTGGGGAGACAAAGGTGGCCGGGCGTGGTGCTGGACACCCGACCCCTTCGTCTGTCGAACCGGTCTCCGTAGTTTCTCTCCAATAACCCCAACAGTCTGTTCAGGCTATATGGGGGGGGGGGGTGGGGGGGGTGGGGGATCTTTGTCAGCAGCACAGTGGTTTCGCGAACTTCACTGTAAACCCCGCCACCTGAGTTCAATTCCTGGCCCGTGGCTATCGCCATTGTCGACCGCTATCCCAGCTCCTGGCGCGTAGGCGTAAACATCGCCACCGGGGGAGACAAAGGTGGCCGGTCGAGTGGCGCTGGACGGAACCACCCCTTGGTTGCGCGGTGCTCGCCTTAATAGCTGCTCGCTAACACGTGGTCGGCAGCGGTGCTTCGGGGCCTACAATCCCGCCAACCTGGGTCATGGACGTCATCCACGGAAGCGGCGTCCGAATCCCGTCCTGGGTCTCGACCTTGGCCGACTCGGCCGTAAAAAGTAAAAAAAACACAACAACCGGTGGCCCGGGTGTTGTGGCAACTGGGGAGACAAAGGCGGCCGGGCTTGCGACTGGCTACGCCACACCCTCGCGCGCCCTTAATAGGTGCTCGCCGACAGCACTTGCAGCGGTGGTCTCGCACAGCCCCAGCGAGGCCGGGGGGGGAGGGGGCGGTAGGGGTT